AGACTCGTCCTTTAAGACTGTATACAAAGGGTAAAAATTATTAGCCCAGGACACTGTTCTCCAAATCGAGACTCGTCCTTCAAGACTGTAAACAAAGGGGAGATCTTGTCCTGAGTAACTTTTGGGCTTATACATGTATTATATTGTTTTTTTTGTTAGGCTTGACCATGGTGTGGAAGGATTGCCATTTTATTCCCATTATCTTCCAGTTGCTCCCATTCTTCAAGATGGACCACAGTAAGTCTATTATATTCTGAGCATTGTAGTATTATACATCTAAGTCTACTTAAATTACAGGAAAACCTGTATATAGTGAACACCTATGGATCTACAAAACATGTCCACTAGAGGTGTTCATTCAGACAGGTTTTACTGTAGTTAATTCTTTGCTCTGATCCATTGAGTCATGGTTGTTGTTATTTACTTTTTGTTTGTCTATTTAGATGCGGCCTTGTAGCAGTTACCATGGCAATGCATCAGTTAGAGATTCGGCCAAATGTAACAGTGGATGAAATATTTTCCAGAGCTAAAGAGTTAGGCTTTACTAACAATGGGGAGATGTATTCAGGTATTCAATCACTTGGGTAAAAGTATCATTTTCATAATTTCAATGTGGTCATGTGAATTTAAATCTTTTTAGTTTTGAATTTATGTAAACTGTCATAAAGTTGTATCTTTACAATTTAGAGCTGACTGCATCATGCTTGTACACTTTATTCATTACACAACAATTTCTCTCAAAAATTTAAAAGATTGTCTAACTTTCTAGTATCTCAATATTTGTACAATTTAGAATGTCGACAATGTGTTTGTTTACTTTATTCCATTCTGATTTCCTCTTTTTTCTGGACATCACTAAGAACCTGTGGTATGCAAGTCATTATAATACTTTGCTTGCACATAGCTAGCTTTTCCAAGAGGGAGGGCACTTTTCAAAAAAATCTTGGGTGGTTACATTTGACAATTTTGGCCCAAAATCACATGAAAATTGCTCAGAATGATGAACAACTGCATGATTTTGAAAGAATTTTGGTCAGGGAGGGGTTAGAGTGCTAGAAAGAGGATAGAGAACTTGATAGAGGACTATCTTATATTTCAGTTAGAGATATGGTGAGCCTGGTGAGAGACTTGGGAGCAGAAGCTAAGATGAGTAGCAATATGAATGACAACAGGGAGCTATTCTGTGAACATCTGAAGCAATGTGGAGCTATTCTTGTGCCGTATCCTTTGAGTGCTCTTACCTGGAATTATTAAGTTTGTGGTTGAAATATTCTTGCATCAAGCAGGCCCTTAGCCGGGGGTTGAGCGAATCATTCTGGTGTTGAGATGGTGAGGGTGGAAATGTCAGTCTTCCAAGGGCTTGATGCAAGACTTGGCCTAAAGTATAGGGTGAACAATTGAGTCATTTAAAATCAAATTTATTTTATATTTGTTTTTTCTGATCTAATTGTGTAATTGGGTAAGTTCACACTGTGACAATAATCCATCTAATCAAACATTTATGGCTACGGAGATGGGCTGATTGAGAATCCCTTCTTGATATTGGTTCTTTAAAAGAAAGGTTCAACTTCAAATGTACTAAACTACATCTACTACATTGTAGATATAGTATTGGTCTAATGTTCAGGTCAAAATGTTTACTATGCTTCAATTTTTTAAAAAGTTCATCAATCACTAAAAATCCTCAAATGGACACTTTTTCATGATATTGAATGAATTTAAAACTTAACATAACCTTGACTTATCAAAGATATGATTCTGATAGAAACCATGAACCATGCTGCAAACGTGGCCACAAGGCACACTGGGCCATTGTAACAGGTAATGTTTGAGTATTCATTATACAACTTTATGTTCATGAACCATGCTGCAAACGTGGCCAATAGGCACACCGGGCCCGTGTAACAGGTAGTGTCAAAATATTCATCATACAACTTCATGTTCATGAACCATGGGCCTTGCTGCAAACGTGGTCAAAAGGCACACTGGGCCATTGTAACAGGCAATGTCAAAGTATTCATTGTACAACTTTATGTTCATTAACCAAGAACCATGCTGCAAACGTGGTCAAAAGGCACACTGGGCCATTGTAACAGGTAGTGTCAAAATATTCATTATACAACTTTATGTTCATGAACCAAGAACCATGCTGCAAACGTGGTCAAAAGGCACACTGGGCCATTGTAACAGGCAATGTCAAAGTATTCATTATACAACTTTATGTTCATGAACCAAGAACCATGCTGCAAACGTGGTCAAAAGGCACACTGGGCCATTGTAACAGGTAATGTCAAAATATTCATTATACAACTTTATGTTCATGAACCAAGAACCATGCTGCAAACGTGGTCAAAAGGCACACTGGGCCATTGTAACAGGTAGTGTCAAAATATTCATTATACAACTTTATATTCATGAACCAAGAACCATGCTGCAAACGTGGCCAATAGGCACGCTGGGCCATTGTAACAGGTAATGTCAAAATATTCATTCTTTCAACATTATATTCATGAACCATGGGCCTTGCTGCAAACATGGCCAAAAGGCACACAGGGCCATTGTAACAGGTAATGTCAAAATATTCATTGCAACTGAACAATGTTTACTAGGTGAAATGCATGTAGATACATGTAAAAAAGTAGTCATTTATTTGTTATACATTGATCAAATGTACAAACATTGTCGTTACAAAGACATGTCATGATTAACATTCTAAAGATTGCCTAGCCCTTTTAACCTACATGTATATGTAGCAACAACCATGAACAAGATAATTATATTATATCAAAAGCACTATGCTGATATATCGAATATGGGTACACGTGCTTTAGAAAGGCACTCTTTTATTTACAGAACATGTGCTTACTATGTTCTGTATCACTTATAGGTTTCCTTTTGGTCCCTAAAGAATACTCAGTGGAGGAAGGCAACTCTCAGTCCCTAATAGATACATGTAATACTTCCCAGTATAAACAAGACGGACAGCTACCGTATCTACAAGATGGAGAACTACCGTATCTACATCACTATAGAAATACTTATTACAAAATGGTAGACCAATGCAGTCAAGATATTTCAAAGGTGCCCAATCAAGATGCTGAAACTTCAGATAAGCATATTGCTGTAGTTAACGAAACTATTAAAACTAATTGTATGCGTGATACTTTTGACAACACTAAACATGCATTAAAAATCTCTGACTGTAATCCAAGGGCAAAGCACAGTGAGGAACAATCGAAACACCAAAGTTTTAACATCAATTATGAAAACTTTCAAGTCTATGTATATGCTAGACAAGGGAAAAGTCAACACCTGGCTCTCTGGGAATATGATGCCCTAGCAGAGAGCAATTCTCAACTTGTTGAACTAGGGCCCGACCGTGAGATAGATGACAATACTTATATCCTATCTGAGGGGTCTGTTAAAGAGGGTTTGTGCAATAAGTTTGTTAGTCTAAATGGATGATGATATTGAAATATAAGTGTGTGGTTTTTAATATGATTTTTTGTTTTGTTGCAAATTTTCCAAAATTCAAAATATGATGATAGGAAATGAGACGTACATGTCTATAGTGACTGTTAATCATGAAATATGAACAGAATTTCCACGAGGCATATTGTTATTAACCCTTAAACGGTTAGGCTATAGAGAATTGCACCAACGGTTAGGGGGGGGGGCAGATCTGCCAACCCCCCCCCCCCACCAAATGATCTTGGAAACGGAAAATCATATGAAGGTGTATTAGGTATCATTGGAAAGGTTATTTAATTTCAGTATTTCAAAACTGCTGACAATTTGGGTATTTTACTAACTTTGAACAGCTCTAACTTTCCTCCAAGGGGGTGAGAGTCACAATTTTCTCGCTAAAACATGCTTAATTCAGTTTTAGGAAAAGCCAGAAAGTTTCATAACAATTTGGCAAATTACTTTTTGTTTTCACATGGATGAAAAAATTTTGATATTGGGATTAGGTCACATCGTTTTTAAAAAATCATCTTGCAGATTATCCGATTATACCAAGGCACGTCTCGATAATTCGATGTTAGGTAGCACATTGAATCAATCATGCATCCCATTCATAGCTATGTGGGCTTGATAACAGTTGACGAATGTGAAGCCAAACAGTATCGATACTAGAATGTAAAAGCCATTATTTATTTCAAAATTTTACATTCTAATTATCCAAAGCTGGATCAACATCAGAAGGACTTTCATGAATACTAAAGTAAAGTTACAGAACTTCAGTCAACTTCAGTTTTGAAAATCATTTTCGCCTCCTGTGTTATTTCAATTGGAGAAGTATTTGGGAAAAATATTGACTTTGAAGACCTAGAACTTTTTTGAACCTGAAGAAACGTAAATTTTTTTGTTAAATAAAGTTATCAAATTCAATTGACTACCATATCCCATTGGTTTACATGGGAAAGTAGATTTTCAAAAATTCTGTCATCCATTTCCGATCTATTGTAATAGTTGAAAAAATTATAGAACTTGGAGGTATTGGAAATGATGTCAATTTGACATCATTTAACAATTTGTTAACATCCGATAACAATTTGGCAACGTTGTTGTCACAGGGGGCAGAAAATTCTGATATAAGGATTAGATCACCTTCTTTTAAAAAACACCTTGCAGATAATTCCAAGGCACGTCGCGATGATTCGATGTGAGCTAGTACATTGAATCAATTATACATTCCATAAATACCTATAGGGGTCTGATACTATTTATTTATTATTAATTAATGTAAAAAATACGATATCGACACTAGATATGCTAAAAAACATTTTTCTAAATTCAATATTTTGCATTCTAATTATTCAACGCTTGATCAACATCACGTTTCAATGTCACGAAAAATTGCTCAATAGGGAGGTTAAGATACGCGTTTATTTAAAAAAAACTTGTACGTAAACGTCTAATAATGGTCCTCTGTGGATTAGTGAGAACGGGACAATGATCCTCGGGGTAAAAATATTTTTTCTCGTACATTTTTTCTCAATGTGCTTAGCTTTCAAAATGACCCAATATCGTTGAACTTTCTAGGATTTAAATAAGTTTTATCGTATTTTGAATATTAAATCCTACAACACAAAAATTACACCACACAAAACTGAAATCATATATTTTCAAATTGTAGAATGTCACATGACATCAAATCTGAAATCTTGCGCACGATTTACACTGTTTCACTAGGACAGTTTGACATAGGAGTTAATATTATTTTATAGCATTGAGTCATGGTGGTTTGGTATCATTCAGAATGATAGTATACGGTGTCATTGAACAAATGTTTTTTATGACAACTAATATATTAGGAACTGAAATTCAAAATACAAATATGGCAATAAGTTCTTCTTGAATTTTATTAATTTGTATTAAGCGACACCGTTGTTCCAATCTTTCCTCTCCCTGCAGCTGTGTGGTTCGCGATGTGGGAAATAAGTTCGAGAGAGTGGAACTCTTGGTTCGCGTCTGACGAATCGATGTTCGCGTTGCGAGAACGTGGTTCGGGAAAAAGGAACGATCGGGATAGCGAGGTTGGAACTGACGGTCGCGAGAGTGAAAGTCGAGGAGACTTGCTACCTGCCAAATAGATGGTAAAAAATTAAAATCGATAAAGTCCAGAAGTCCGGCAATGTAAAAAAAATGAGGGCATAATATTTTCGTTTCCAGTTGTAGTTTCTTTTGAATGTTGATTGAGATTGAGAAATTAAAAATTGATAGGTTTCCTCAGAATTATGTGTTGAATAATTGCAATTTAAAATATATATCTCGATAGTCTAGTTGGAAAATATAACCCGCAAAAAATTGTTTTTGCCCGAAACCTTTTGGAATTTATAGCATTTTAAAACAAACATGTTGGCAATGATTAATATTCTGGTAGGTAAAGCCGTTTGCTTGCAAATATATCGTATGGAATTTGACTTGATAAGTGTTTAGAAGACATGTTCTAGTGTCTCGTGAACAATGGTGCTCATGGTAAATATTTTCAAATTATCAAGTCGAATTCCACAACAATTTTGAAAGCAAAAGGCGTCAGCTACTAAACTATACCCTCTCATTGTGTTGTCAATGAAAGAAACCGCTAATATATCATCAAATACGACGTATTGTGTGTTCACGATGCCCATGTCAAGCAGCGTGCCTACTAGGCACGCAGTTTGAAACTCTGACAAACTGCGCGCATATTTCAAAATGTGAGACGGGGAGGACACGACTCCCAAAAAGAGCCAAAATACGAAAAATACAAGATTAGTCTCGTTCTAAAGATAGTACCATTCTGTGAAGATGAACTTAATTTACTCATAGTACTCAATGTTTTTCCCGATGTAAACCTAGTTATCTCAATATAAGGGTCTTAAGTAACTTCTGTGTTCAAAATTTACAGTGTAAAGCTATATCTATGTCTTTTTATCGTCATTTGCCGTTTATTCAGCCATTGTGTCTGTGTATGCTAGAAGATATAGGATCACTCCATCTGATTAAAACAGCAAAGTTTGTGTTCAAAACGATAATACGCCATAAACGTGATTTAAACATTTTTCTTGTCAAACTGCGCGCCTATATTTACATGTATTTCCCAAACTGCGTGCCTAATATTTCAAAACTGCTTGCCTGTCCAAGCTTGTTTTGTATTATTAGAAAACATAAGCGCCATACAAGGCACATATGTGTCTAATAGTAGAACCCCATAATTGAAACACTATGAGAGTCCATCCACCAAGATGGTTATCTGAAAATAAATGTTTTTTTCGTTCCCAACTTAATTGTCACTTCTATTATACATTTTGACTTTCAATATGAAAATCTCATAAAATCTGACGATAAAGCAAAATTTCCAAAGCTACATCGAAAACACCTACCGGCCAAGACAAGTAACTTAGTCAACATTCGATATTCGTATGTTCATCAATATTTACTAAGAATGGTGCCACAATTGAAGTAAACCTCTGGTTAATTATTTTCAATAAATCTATCAGCAAACGTGTAAATGATAATTTTGATGTTCTGTTACATATTGGTGAAGCAATCTTTGGGATATGACCTAAATTTCTGATTTTCCACTGTGTCCCTGTATACCCCTACTTCAAAAGATATATGTTATTCGTCATTTTTCATTATGAACCAACCATAAATGTATTTTTTCTTCTTTACATACAGAATGAAATTTCGGTTTTCAAATATTGCAAGACGGTGCTGCATTTGTTTGTTCAGGATATCGAGCAAACAAATGCGTGTCAATTTACACTGTAATATCCTACATACTTATATTTCAAGGGTAGTTTTGAAGAATAATCAAGAAAAACCGTATCTATGTTTTTTGTTGTTGTTATTTTTTAGGTTACTAGGTCATTTGTTACATAATTAAATTTTCCATTGTCTGTTTATGACGTCACATAAATGTATACATGCTGTTATATTTTGAAAAAGACTAAGGGATATTAGTCGAAAGTCTCAATAAATTAAAAATATTCTCTGAAGTAAAGAATTTGACTTGTTTAAGAAAAACCATGTTTTCAAATGGATTCATCCTTGTCAAAGAACGTGAATGAGGATATGCCGTTTGAAAAACTCACAACATGTTTCAAGTTCTTTCGAATGTAATATCCTACTCAATGAAATTTGTTGACATTTGTGAATTTTTTCTTTCGAAATGCACATTGCTGGATAACAGAACCTTGCCATGTTCGAGATGCACGAAAAGTGTTTTGTTAATACTTGACGTCGTACAGATATTTGGATGTGATTGACGTTTTCGTTAATCTCCTACCACTGTAATTTCCAACTTAACTTTTGGAAGCCAAATGTGATAGTCACGAATTGATATTTAAGTCACACGTTGATGCATACATCATATGTGTACATTAACCGTCGAATACATGCCAACTTACATTTATATAAATATTCACAATTAACTCAAATCATCAATTCTCGAAACGGTTTATTATTTAACCTGGTGAATTGAATGTTTCATTTTGATTCATAATTATGGTATCGGATTTGAGTATGATATAATTCGAGGCTTAAACAAAGCAATAAAATTACGTGAAACCTTTTGTGAAAATTCGAACGATTTTTCAAGAATCCTCCTTCAAAGTGATACCAAAGTGCTCCCCGGGAGTGGAAATTTCGTCTTGTGTAATCAAAATAATAGAGCGGGTGGTTTGAATTTTTGTTTGGGTTTATAGTTTACATCTATGAATTGAAAAACATATCGCCTAATTGAGAGGTCCATGCATATTTTGGCGATCTATCATTATAAAGGGCTAAATATTGTGCAAAAACAGGAGTTAACACGCTTACATTTGAAAATGAAATTTCCTACATAATCGTCGACTCGTGTTTAAAAGTCATGAAAACAAGGTTGAACACAAAACATTGACCCAGTTACTGTCTATTCAGCATGGGTTCACTAAGGGAAATATTATTAATGACTTAAATCGTTTCCAAGAAACTTATCAATTTAGAAATGCAAATTGTTCAATTTTGTTTTTCAATTATAAAAAATGGCACCTGTAGAGAACAACGTTTTCAAAAATTTTTAAAACGGAGATATTTACTTATGCAACATTTATTGGCATGTGTCAGGGAATAAATAGGAAGAATATGCATTTGATTCTATATCTTGCTCCTGAAGGAGTTTGTTAAGGAGCGGTATATCTTAACGTACTTTTATCATCCCGAACTCAAACATTTCGAATACTTATTTCGAGAACGCTTTGTTGAGAATGGATTCGAGATGTACTCAAAATTAGTGCGTTAAAATGTGTATTATCATCTAAATAACCACCTCACAAATTATTTTGGAAATCAAAGATGTACGATTTTTGAGATTTTTATTTTCGAATGTTGACTTACTTACTTGGCTTGACTGCTACACGTACCTCTGTAGAAATTCAAATGATAATATGTAGTTTTAATAGTGTATGCGCACAGATTGTAATTTCTGGCTAAAATAGGCGCGCAGTTTGTGGTTTATTTCTTTTTAATCTCCTAATTATCTGTTTTATTTCGAAATATTTTGAATTAAACATGATAAATGTGTAAGGAATTAAATATAAAACGAGTCTAAAGTATTTGTCATTTATGTTTAAAGTGCTAGATCGATTTACGTATAAATTCCCATTAAATCAGTGACGAAAATGCCATCAATCTGCTTATGTTTTAAAACTAAGATTCATTTGCACACAGTTTTTGCTAGTATTTGCAAGATTCGTATATTCGCCACAGAATGAACGCATTGAACAAGAAAACAATGCAGGATAAATGTCTTTAAATAACGTTTCAAAATACAGACTCCAACTTAAATGATCCAATGTTCTTAGGCACGCAGTTTGTGATCGCGCAGCTTGACATGGGCACCGTGGTGTTAGAACACAGAAATGAGATATATGAATATTATTGTAAACATGCTAAAATAAAATTGATGGTTCATCGATTGTGGGAACAAGATAACTTTCAAACTTCAATTATTCAAAGACTATCAGCATCCAGGGAGTTTACATATTCCTGTGTTATACAGGTGTGAAATAAATGCGGAATTTTATGATAGGATTTAAACATCAATCAAAAATGAATTACGCATGCATACAACCAACTCTATTATCAACATATACTATTTTGAAATTCATTTGGGGTTGAGTGGGAAGGGCTTAACTAACTTGATATGATAAATGTGAATACCCTGGGTGAGTTAATGATCATTGTAGATCTGTAAAATGAGGGTATATAAGATGGTGTCAGGCACTCGGAGTTGGAGACAAAAACTATTGACTCCTAGACCGACTTGGCCAGGCTGAAAAGACTGAACATGAATCTTTTTCAGAGAAAATTTGGAGGTACGTTTTTATTTCATTTTTTTATTTATTTATCTGTTTATTTATTTACTATAATTGTCAATCATTGATTAACAGGGTCAGCACATACTAGGGTACATCAATATAAAAATTATCATTGAAAATGTTCTTTAGAAGTAAGAATTATAATTTATAGATGACATGCTAATTAATGAGTAAAATATAGAAAATACCCGTTGTGGCATTCTTTAAGATACAAACAAAAATTCCATATGGTAAAATAAGTCTCCATATGCGTACCATGGCTATATATTACCTATTAATGTTTTTTTATTTTGTATCTAACATAGGGATGTCTAAGATTGAAGGAATTGTGATATATTTTGCCAAAGTTATGAACTAGAGTATTAAGTCGATTTTTTCGTTTAGTTTTTTTTCGTTTAGTGATTTTTATAAACAACATGGGATTATATGCCTTATTTGTCTCGTGAAACGAAAATTAAAACATTTCTTGAATAAAAGTGAGGGAAAGAGTTCTGATTGTTACCTTACACATATTCATTTCAAATTTGTACTCCAAGAAAGTTTGTTTTCGACAAGTATTTTCTCGGCAATGGGAAAACCAAATTCACTGAAATTGTGTATAACCAGGCTGATAACGTGGCACAGGCCTATCGTTAGTAAGTTAAAAAAATCTAAAAAAAATCAAGTACTAAATAATATGTGAGCACTAAGAAATGCAATACTGTAAAAGCCCAAATTTTCGATGACAAAATATTTCACTATTTTGTCAATCTGAAATGTTTCATGGGCATTAAATTTCACTGTTTGAAGAAATATCCAATTGAATTCAATGTTAAATCAAATATTCACTGTGCCTTTAATTTTACGGTCTAGCCTCTTCAGTGAAAATAGTGAAAATCAGGGCACCTTGAAAATTTGGGCGTTTACAGTATGGCATGTCAAAAGATCCCATACCAGTGCAGCAATAGACAATAGCCAAATTCTTTGAAAACTTTACTCGAGACACATGGGGGTATTTCCAACCAGTGCTATGATACATATGTCCAATGTTAAATATACCTCGTCGTCGTCAAATACGTTATAAGACGTTCACATCATACAGTACTTGCACGTTTCATCAAAATCCACTTGGAATTAGTTAACATTTTGTTTAACATTTTCAAAATGATGCAAGGCTTTCAAGGAGCGGAAATATTATTTTCTATTTCTGATTTGAAAAATATAATTCCACAATATTGTCACAAAAACGAAATCCACAAAACAACAACCAGTTCATGAGTTCTAACACATACAATTCAAATAAGAGCTGATTTACTAGTGCTAATACAATAATCTTGTTCAATTTCCAATTTCTAGTTATCTTCCATGATGTAGTCCATGATCTGCTCCAAAATTTTTGATTTAAAAACGGGAGGGGGGTTGCCTCTTAAATGTAGACACACAAGGTTTGTCCTTCAAAAACAACTTTTTACCTATTATTTAGTTTTTACCATATAACTGCATTTCAAGCATGATGTCAATTGATTTTGATAAAATTTAGAACTTGATAAAAATTGAGTACTTTTGAGTAACAAGATAATGCAGGAATGTTAAAAAATGGTTCCGAAAGGTTGCTAATTTCTGCAATAGTAAGAAAAAATCTGCATGGTGCGATGTTTTGGTGTCACTATTTTAAGTAATAAAAGACACTGTCTAATGCTTGAAAAAGGGTAATGTGACATGTATAAAAGGTACATGTAAAGGGCGACAAAACGTCACTCCTCGAACATCTCTATGATGGCTAAGGAATATGATGATATTCCCATGTTAGTGCATATCTCTATCCTCCATGCTACATATAATTCAATGCATTTTTGCTCAAATCGTCATTTTCTGAGTGAAAGGCCATGTTTCATGAAAAATGTAACAGCTTCCAGTATATAGCATATAATGTAGGAAAACTATGCAGTAGTAGTTTTTTGTGGCGGACCCTGGACAATAAACTCATATTATCTCAGGGCAAACATTACAAGTGAGATAGTAAACATTTGATTTAACATTTTAAAAAATTGGAAAATAATTGCCAGTATCAAACAGTTATTTCGAATCACTGAACAAATTGTTTTTCTGCTTTTATTTTAGGCGTGCCTCTATTTGTATTGTTGCTCGCAGTTTTGATTTTCGCTTCGATACCACAAATTGAAAGCATAACTAGTGAGGAAAAGACAGCCGTCGAAAAGGGACTTGAAACCGGAAAGGAGGTTCTTGACATTATCAAAAGCAAAGAATTTACAAAGGCGTTGACTAAAATTGCCGCATCGATTGGGCCATTCCTGGGTGCCTTGGGACCTTTTGTTAGCATAATTATGGCTTTCATTCCTATGGGAGATTCCGCAGAGTTGGCATTCATGAAAGAGATGATGAAAAAAATTGACAACCGATTCAATCAAATGGATTCCCGCTTTGATGAAATTGAACGACTGGTTGATTGGACGAAGGTTGCAGTTAACTTCGGACAAATAGAACAAAAGATACTTGCAGTGGATGCGGTGTATGAACGCCTCTATACCAGTGCTGCAAATGCGTCTCAGAAGGGCATGATGTTCACGATGAACTACGAAAGCGATTATCAAAATAGTGGCTTAAAACTTTACCATGCGATAGTTAATAGACAAGGCACATTTCAGGAAAATCTTGGTGAATCAGTCATGCGCTACACAAAAAACGACCGCAAAAAGACACAGGAATTTCTTCTTGGCGTTATGCGACTCCTAATGCAGGCAGCGAAATTAGAAATTGCCTACCTTACAGTGTACAAATATGAAACCATGGCAAAGGAAAGGGTCGAAATATGGGAAGAAAATATTCGAATAGTGAAATCTAATTTTGAACAGATTGATTTGGCGGTCACTAAGAAGTATCACGATCAGTCTGAAGTCGATATAAAAAAGCTTACTGCCGACAATTATGGGATCAGTAACGAACAATTTAGTGATAAACTGTACAGTATGTTAATCGAGAAGTACTATTGGCGAAATTGGTTTGTTGTCGTATATAAAGCCATCACCGGTGGTGATAATCATTACGTGAGAATATGTAATGGCCATATGCTTTTTCGACAAGACGGACGAAACATCGTTGTTTCAAGTATGGACAAGAATGAATTGGGGAAATATGGTGGAGAGACGACATTGAACGGCGCCCAAACAAGATTAGATGCTACGGAAGATGGCAATGACCCATTAATACTTGACATTACGACCACATTAGAGGTAGCCAAGCATTATTTTAACATGATCGATAAAATTGGTGCATGCAGTGTCATATCTATAAAGAAAAGCGCTGATGTATGGTACAAAGGTGATTCGAACAAAATAGCTTACCGCAAGTTTCATGATTATTTACATTTCATCCTGTTTGATAACTACAAATAACCCAACCCCAACCCAAAACCCAAACCCAACCCTATCTATATCGGAATTAATATCCCAGGTCATCATATCCCTGCATAAGTTGGTTATCGTACCATTGTAATTAGATCAGACTTCTCTATTTGTATCAATCGTTCGAAATATTACGTGACTCTACATTAGTAGAACCTTCTTGAAATCCAGAAACGAAAATAGAAATTACTTCAGCTACTTCTCTCATCGGCTAATATACTCGTACACTCAAGAATCACAGTCTTTGTTTAATTGTACAAGTTTATTCGGTAATTTGGTTACAATGAGACGATTGGTGTGGCAATTACAATTTTTTCTGAAAATTCTATCGGGACTGCAACGCGAGAAAAATGTGTATAAAACATGTTATGCATGTCGAATGTGATTGAAAATACAATTAACGTGAAACCGCTTTTCCAAAAAGATTCTTTATTCCGACATATTTTCTTTACAAAAGATATATCTGCAATGTTTTTATACAACTCATAGCAAGCGATTAATAAAATCAAAGGGTGCCAACCATTGTTTCTTTGTGAGTTTGGGTCATAATTTGGAGTATTACTGTTTCTTTTCCTTACAACAGATTATGCTTTTTGGTGTACTCGATTCTTTTTGCTATGTTTTGTAAAACTAATTAAACGGTCTTTCCATTTTGGAAATCATTCTTCAGAAATTTGCAAGGTCTATGCATTGTTTCATTTTTAATGTTCAAACCATTTATATTATACTACTCAAAAAAAGTTAAGGACCAGTGGTTTTCCTCATAAGTTTACATGTTAACCCACATATTTGTCTGACTATTTTCAAAGCGGGGAACAAAAGAAATCCCAATAAAGCAAATAAATCTGTATCTTGATTCTATCCCTTATAAAGTCCGCAACGTTTCAATGTTATATAACTTTTTTGAGGAGTATACTAGCACAAGCGCCAAAAGGCTGCATATACAAATATTATTCTTAAAATGTTTATAGCTGTCTTTCCCATCTTAATTAACTCTTAATTAAATAGTATTATGAATTAACAATGATATGCAACTTGCGGAACATTTGATTCAATTTTAGAAGATGATTACTTTGTCTATCGATTGTTTAATTCAATTTTCATTACGGATGAACTAGTTATGGTCATTACGGATGAGAGTTATAGTTATAACCCCTTTTATACCAAATTCATCTCAAACATGACTCCCATTGACTCATTTGGAGTTGAGTTTACTGGATTGAGTAAACTGAGGGTTGATGTCCTGGATGTTTTCATAGACTTTTTTTGTCATCCACGGTGAAGGTTATATATAATATATCATTTATAATGACGTCGATTAAAATGTCATATGTTGCTTATGTAAAACGCATATTTTGCTTCTAAAAGAAGGTATTATCTTGAAGTCAATACTTACGATAATGTTCAAAGTAGTCACCTTAGTTAAAAGCTGCTATATTATTAGTTCAAATCATAGTTTAAGTCTTTGCAATACATTTTGAAGTAAAATATGCTTATTGTGCTAATAATAGCTTTTGTATCTTATTTAGCATTTTAAATGAAATAGTCAATCTCATATTTAAATTCATGGTGAGGTATATTTGTTGGTTTGTTGTACGTGATTAATGTTAGGATATTATTGGTATTGTTTACGTAAAATGCATGTTGAACTTTTCAGAAAGGATATTACCTCGATATTGGCAAATAATTATTTAGTTGTTTAGCTTTGTGAGAACGATGCTAAATTATTATGTTAATATACTGAGAAAATCAAATGTTCAGATCATATGAGAAGTCTTGGTAATACAGTATGGAGAACTATATGTGTATGTTTTGTTTATTTCTTCCGTTTTATGGAAGCGTATTAAGATTTGATGAATCTTAAAATAATCAATGATAACTGAGTGATGGTTCAGCTCTAAGTCAAATGATAAATCAGTGGCTAGCCATGTGGCAGAGAAACCTCAAACGTGAGTAAAGCAATTTCATTAAACATTCACCAGCGCTGATATTTTGACTGGGGGTTGAGATTTACTGGATTGGGCAGACTCTTTTGTTATCCATGGCTAAGGTATTGTATAATTTATTAATATTGACGTGTGTATTTAAATGTCATATTATATGTTGTCCATGTAAAACGCATATTTTGCTTCTAAAAGAAGGTATTATCTTGAAGTCAATACTTACGATAATGTTCAAAGAAGTCATATTAGGGAAAAGCTGCTAATATTATTCCCCAACAGTCAAAGGTTCAAATCATATGTGAAGTCTATGCAATACATTTTGAAGTGAAATGTGCGCAAATTAACCAGCAATAAACCTCGTCGTAATACATGTCCTTACTCAGTCAAAGATTAGTAAAATAATATACTGGGAATTTGTTCAAAACCTAGAAACGAATTCAAAATATATAGAAGGATGGAATAAAGATCTAAAGTCACTAAATCAAAATGATTGGAAGAAGATAAATAAACTTAACAAACTGAGTAACTATGAACCCAAGTTATCATCCTTCACTTACAAAGTCCTTCAAAGATTTTTAGCAACTAATACATACCTAAAAATGTGTGGACTCATAGAGTCAAACATTTGCGCTTTTTGTAAAGCAAATCCTGAAACGATTTGCCATCTTCTCTATGAATGTATTATAATATTGTAAGTGCCTTATTAAATGACATTAAACAATGGCTCCCTTTAGAGCTCACATTGCTATGTACTAAACAAAATGTATTGATAGGACCTGAGAGTATAAATGAAAAAACAATCATCCTAAATAATATGCTATGTATTTTTAAAAGGTATGTTTATTTGTGCAAATATTCTATTCTAAAACCAACACTTAAAGGTTTTATAAGTAATGTGAAGGAATATTTTATTATAGACAAACGGGTTGGTAGAGGTGATTAAACAAATGATACTGATGATTTTTTCCTTTAAATAAAAAAACTGACAATTGTATAACATTTCTTAAAGACTAACGTTTAGCCAATGCTGTATTGTAAAATTGTAAAATGTATGTTTACCATGTAACTGTATTGTAATTGTTTTTTGGCAATTGCTTTAACAAAAAAAAAAAAAATTATAAAAAAAATTGTGACATACGTATATACAGAATGGGCCAATAAGGAACTTTTTTTAAAAATTTATATTCAATTTTCCTTATTAAACAAAAAATGGACAATGGTAAAATATTTGTGAAAATGAGCCAAAATGTCAAGATAAAAATATGGCTGTATAATTATTTTTAGCTTGTCATGTCATGGCCTTTAACATTTTCTCAAATAATCATTTTACCATTATCTGATTTTTTGTGGATTGACCTGCAATAATAACGAAAGGATCGGTATCGATATGGCGAACTGAATTCAACATTGTTTTTCTCTTAAACCAATTATTGAAAATATTCCGTAAAAACGGTCCTTTATTTAATGGTCACTGATTGGCAACACTTTAATGCGGAAATTATTTAGATATATTTTTATAACTGTTTTTGTTAACATTTTTTTAGTGCAATCGTTTTTGTTCCTTTCTACCAATTCTTTAGATTGAAACAAAATATCAATCCGAACTTTGTTGAAACAAAATATTTTGACTGGTTTAAGAGAAACATGCATTCAATTTAGCTCACTATATCGATATCAATCCTTTGAATAAATAAAAAAAACTCCAATTTCCATAAGTTCCAATTTTTATTGGTCCATCCTGTATATACGTATATAATGTATTCAATTACAAACTTGGGTGTAAGTTAATATTGTATCCATGTCATATATTGTCCCAATTCGATCTACAGGGTGTCCACAAAAAAAGTATACCGAACTTCAAAGTCAGGATACTAGAATTCTGTGCAATTAAAAAAATACAAAGGTAGCAGTATAAGGCCTAGTGTGTCCTCCAACAAATGCTACATAGATCATCACCCTTTTCGCATAATTTTCCATAACTTTTTATTGCTGTATACCTCCCTTGCGCGAAATTGGATCCCAAGAGCTTCCTGAACAGCAATGAAACTTCAACATGATGCTATGGAGCTTTGAAGTCAATTGTATCTCCCATTTAGGTCAATACACCCTTGCCGAAATCCTCATTTGATGGAGGACAAATAAGGCTTTTTGCTGTTAGCTTTGTATTTCAAAAAATGCTCAGGACTCTAGTAAATTGATTGGGAATACTTTTTTGTGGCCGCCCTGTATATCTGGCCCTAACTGTGCATTTACAATAATGGGATAACAGACAATAAATAACTAAATGCATCATTCAAGGTTAAACATTTCATAAAAACCTCGATGACGAAATTATACATACATGGTTTATACAGGGTGGGCCAAAAAACGCCACTTTTTTTCAATACACTACAACTTTTTTATTTTCCAACCTACATACCCCAAATTTTGCAGTTATATAGTGGCAAGTGTTCCTAGTAATAATATAATGTAACAAGTCCTTCAACTTGGATTATATTTGATCTAAAAGGAGAGTTCAATTGGTCCGCCACCCTAATTGATGATATATTTTAGTTTTAGTCGCCTTGCTGACATTGCAGTATCAATGAAATGTTAGCTAAGTTTTTTTCAACCTGTCTTTATTTCCAGCATTAATTGAGCAATTTTCTAGATTGGGTGCCTTCATACAGTCTCCTGGAGACCTTCCCGTACCCTAAACTCACTGGGTTTTGCATCATGGCTATTAGCTTGGCGATCAGCAGGCCGTATAAGTTCAGGAACATTTTGCAAATTATGCTTATTTCTCATGGCACACCACATGTTTAAGTGAGACGCTGGTGACATATTTTATTCAAGTAAAAGTGTATAATTTATGATTCATGGCTAGATAACGACCTTAAGTTTCATTTGGTATGCAAATTATGATTTAATATCAAAAATTAAAAACGTTATAGCATTTTGAAAAAAAAGTGGCGTTTTTTGGCCAACCCTGTATAATATTATATCATCTATGTTGACATGTATTTTCATAATTCATAGATAATTGTTTATGTAAGATGCATATTTTGCTTTTAAAAATGGGATAGTTTTGTCATAAAAAGTCAATTTAGTGAGAAACGATACCGGTGTTATCTTAGAGCCAAACGTTGGCATTAGTCACCATTAAATGAAAACTGACCACGGCCACCATTGAACAATTAGAGCTAACTTAAATGTTCAAAAGAATTTAGCGGTGTCCTGTTTAAGAACCCCCGGAAAATGGATTCTAGCAATACTATTCCACATGTATTCCAAGTATTGCTTGGATCCATTTTAATAGTAAGAATATGGGTTATAAACGGGACATTGGGCTTGCTTTGAAGAACTCTTTGTTGGCTCTAAATGACCAAAGTATAATTCTAATTTATATAGTACGTTTTATGACTGTGTATTTCAACATTATTGAAACTTATAATAAAGTGTTTGATTCTCAATTATACTTTGACTGTTCGTTTTATTCCAGCCTTCTTTCGATAAACATGCCATCACTATTTTTGTTTTTAAAAAGCCCATTGTAGTGGTGCATTTGGAAATCAAAGAGGGAGTAATAAATATTTTCTAAATCCTAGTGTGTCTACTCTCGCTCAATCTATAAAAAAGGTCAATTTTTATTGGCCTATTTTGAAAAGTAACATTTATTGTGCGGCGAATTTACTTTCTTCTTGGATGAACATCTAAGCACATGTGCCAAAGGGAAAGGACCAAAAGTTGTAATGGAACTTAGCAAAAAAGCAAACTCTAAGTGCATACCAGTCAAGAAAAACAAACCCCATATATCCCAAAACCATGATCTAACGTAAAAAGAAACAATGTCTAATACCCCCTTTCCCCCACCATTCGAGAGCCGATATCAAAATCCAAGACCAGAACACCAAGGCATTTCATCACGTGATGATCATATGTCGATTTTCTGACAAAATGGGGCTA